TTTTTTTTTTTTTTTTTTTTTTGGTCAGTTGGACCTTTTAAATAATGTAGCAATTCTGGATTCTGATTTTTTTTTTTTTTAATCCTCCTGGAGGTTATTGTTTTGGGGTTTTACTTTATTTTTGTTATTTACCTGTATCTAATCTATAGAATCTTTCTCCTCCATAGTTCAAAGACCCTGAATTCTGTGTTAAATTTTTTATTCTAATTTTCATTTCTTGGCCTGATTTCTTAGGGTTGACTCTTTTTTTTTAAATATATCTTTAGTGATTTTTTTCAGAGAGAGGAAAGGACAGGTAGAGAGAGAGATAGAAACATCAATGAGAGTCATCGATTGGCTGCCTCCTGCACAACCCCTGCTGGGGACCGAGCCCGAAACCTGGGCACGTGCCCTAACCAGAATCGAATGGCGATCCCCTGGATCCCAGGTTGATGCTCAACCGCTGAGCCACGCCCGACTGGGCCCTTAGGGTTGACTCTTTAGTCTGCATAGCTTAGCGGTCAGCCAAGTAGTGGTTAGAGATTGTGTTTGAACATCTTGAGTTTATAAAGCTTCCATCTTTTTTTGGTGATTCTGTACATGCATTGCAGAATACCTTCAAAATTCCAGTAGTTTTTAAGTTGGCCTTTGCTTTCTTTGAGGCCCTCTTAGGTCTTCTCTGCATGTGTGTATAGCCTCTGAGCCAGGGATATGTGGAGAGTTTATGCCTCTCTTATTTCCAGGATCTCCCTGTTAAATTTCTTAATGTTCTGCCAGTCTGTCGTTTTCCCCAGCTGAGACTCTCTCCTCAGGGTAGCAAAGCTGTGGACTTTTTTCACTTTGTTTCCTGTCAGATTTGCTATTTTTACTACCATTGCCACTATAAATGGGTTTTTGCTTTCTGTTTTAAATAATGGTAGCCCCCTCCAGAAGCATAATTCCTGGTTTTCATGGCAACCCTGCCCTGGTAAAACTACTACCTGACTGAACTGGGTGGTGATAGTGGGGGATGCTAATATTTCTTGGCAAGAAGGCCACTGGTGCCCACTGTCCTAACTCCAGTATCTAGCAACTTTTCATGCATAAATGCTTCTCGACTCATTGCATTGGGACGATTTCCAGAGCTCTGAAATGGTTGCTTTCTACACTGTAGTCCTTTTTATAGGTGTTTGGGGGGACATCTCTTCATTCCACTATAGCTGGAAATCTCTCCTCTTTTTGAACTTTGTAACTTCTTAGTCCTTCTGCCTGTCTCCCAGTCACACTTTAAATCACTCTAGTCAGGCTTTTGTTACAACCATTCTACCGAAATCACTTACAAGATACACTAGCATCCTGCATTTGCCATATCCAAATCAGTTTTCTGCTTTCACCTTAAACTTTAAGCAGCTTTTGACATAGTAAATGGTTACTCCCCTTTTCTGAAAACTCTTTTTTTTTACTTGGCTTCTAAGATAACATGTTCTGTTTTTCATTCTACTTCATTGACTACCATGTGATACACTCCTTTTTATACCTATGAATTCTTTTTTATGTGTGTATGTGTCTAACTTATTTCCTAGGTGATAGATATACCCTTGCTTTAAAGTCCCCAAAGTACAGATGGCCCCCCGATGCCTATTTCCAGCCCCAGCTTCTACTATTGGTTCTCAGTATTTTTCTCTTGGATACCTAATCAGGATTTCAAACTTAATAGGTAGAAAATAGAACTCATGATTCATTCTCTTCCTCAAATTTATTCTCTTCAATTTTTAGAATGATCTTTTAAAAAGATATATCAGATTATGTTATTTTCCTGATCAAAACGTCATTGGCCTTTTTTTACATTTAGTGTGAAATTTAATTTCTTACCATGATTTACAGGTTTATATGACATACCCCCGGCCTACTTTTCTGAACTTGTCTCCCACCTCTCTCCCTTTACTTAGCTTGCTCCATTGTCCTTCAAGCTACTTTTTGAATATGCTAAACCCACCTCTAGGCATTTACATTAGGAGTTTCCTATTATTGCAGTGCTTCCATTTGGAATGGAAATGGACACAATTTTGAAATTGGTAAAGTTTTCCATGTCCTATGAAACAGTCAAAAGAGTCTCACTTTAGTTATTATCTTTGTTAAAGCAATTATACTGTACTAAGTTTGTTTATTGCTTCAGCCATAGTCATTTTATAACAAGTAATGGAATGAATGATTGATGTCTTATAAATGAGTTTTAAATATCACTGTATACATAAGCCCAGCTCTCATGGTCAGTTTAAAGGGACAAGAGTCCTCTTGAGTTTCCTGTTTCCCTGAGAGACCATTCAGAATACAGTTTACTAGATGTTTCTAGAGGAGGAAGACATTCATTTCTTTCCACTACCACCTTCTAAGTTAGAACTGGAGCCCACTCTCCTCTAGGACAGTTCTGCTTATTTGGCTCGTCATCTATGCAACCCCCACTCCACTTTTTTTGACTTTTTTTTCTAACCATAATAGCATTTTCCTTCCAGATTCCCAGGCATATATTTTATGTTTTCTAGCCCTTCTAAATCTTTATTTTAACTGAAATTATATATTTTCTGTCTACATCGCTGGTACTTTGGTGCTCTTTTTCTGTTATGTAATTTAGCCTTTATTAACTGGTTTCTGACAGCCCAAGTATATTGTTGGACTTTATCTTCTTTGTTAATATATACTCTTCAAATTTATTACAGCAAAATTTATGATGTTAGGAGGTCATCATATTATTTAATGTTTTCTTTCCATGAAGAATGATCATACCCTTGAAACCTCCCAAAGGGAAAATTATTTGTGTGGTCTATAAATTTATCAGTACTGTTCAGTTTCTAGAATACTATATTTTAACTCCCTAAAACTTAGCAACTAAGCCCTTTTAATGGGGTTAATTCTCAGATTTTTCACTGTATCTTAGAAAATAGTAGGGGTTGTAAGAATTTTCTTTGCACACAAATTTATTTGATGTGATGTTTGATTCTTATTATAGTTTTAAAAATTATAGCAGTAATAGCTCATTTCAGATATCTCTTATATACTCTAGACCAGTGCCTCTAAAGCTTTTTGTGATAAAGTAGTTTTAAAAATTTCCAATTCATTGAGGGCTGATATTTTTGTAAAATACTACACAAATGAATTACTACAAAAGTGAAATTTTAAGAAATACAAAATATAGGCCCCACCTTTTTTTTCCCCCCCAAATATATCTTTATTGATTTCAGAGAAAGGAAAGGAGAGGGAGAGAGAGAGATAGAAACATCAGTGATGAGAGAGTCATTGATTGGCTGCAACCCGCAACCCGGGCATGTGCCCTGACCAGGAATCGAACCCTGATTGCCTGGATCCTAGGTCGATGCTCAACCGCTGAGCCACACCCGGCCAGGCTAGGCCCCACTTTTTATTATGATTCATTGATATAAAGTTATTCTGTCAAATTGCTATCAAATATTCTAAACACTTAATTTCAATTTGATTTGCAGAGCAGTAGCAAATAGTTCATGGACAGCACTGATCTATAGACCATACTTTTTAGTAACATATAGCCTGCTGTTTGAATATTTAATGTTATTTCAGAAACATTAGTCAATATGATGAATAGCAGTTATCCTTTAAAAAATATTTTTTGTGTTTCCTTTTCAGAACCGAGAGCTCCAAATCATGAGAAAGCTAGATCACTGTAACATAGTCCGATTGCGTTATTTCTTCTACTCAAGTGGTGAGAAGGTAGGTCTTGCAGAAAATGTGTACTGAATATTGTGATAGACTTGTTATTCTTCTAGAAATAATCCCCCTTACCCAAGTAAACCAGTTTTGCTGATTGAGTGGAAGAATTTCAAAACACAAGCACTAGTGATTCTGAGCTCAAGATATGATCATTGATTCTTATGATCAGGAAATGTTAATGAAAGGAATGTATTTTTTTGAATTTCGTTCTTTTTTTTAAACCTCTATCTTCAGTTCTAAAGCAAATATATTTTTGAACCTTTTATGATCTTTGTGTGCTTCTGGAGCCCCATGTTAGTTCACCTGTTTATTGGAGGGAGGAAGATGATGTCATTTTGTTACACTGATGTATTGGAGGGGAAGGGAGGAAGGAGGAGGACTTTGGTAGGACCAGAATGATACTTAAACATTGGGAGGCAAGTTTAGCCTATCCTTGGCTAGAAAAAAATTGAAAAATATATAATATTTCAGAGCTTGTTGTAAGTGGTCAGAGTTTATGATCACACTTAATTCTGTGAAAACAAAGGATAATTAGGAAGACTTTGTACTGTGAATCCTCTTCTTCCCCTTCCCCTTGGTCTTTCTCTTCAGAAGATATAATAACTAATGTCATTGTACTCACTGGAGTTTGCAGCGTAGAAAATCAGTTTCTTCTATTTTACTTTGGTTGTTTTCTTTCTATTCACTGTCCCTTATTTCCAGATTCAATGTTTTCTTACATTTTTTTTCTTCTCTGGTTTGTGGTGAGGGAGCAGGACAAGTAACAAATCACTTAATCTTTTTGGCCAAATAAATATGACTTTGGATAAGTTCATTTGATATTTTGGACCTTGGATACCATGCATATACTATCTAAAGTCCTTAGATCCATAATGCGTCTTGATTTCTAGCCCAGTGTTCTTTTTATTTCACATACCTATTTCCCAATGTACCTGTGTTTAATTATTTTCCATTAAATTTTATTTCAGTTATTTCCTTAGAAAAATTTTTTTTTTCTTTATGATAGAGCCTGTAGTATGGCAAGGTACCTATATCTTAAGCCAGAATTGTGATATACATGTCTACAGATATGTAATTGGTGTATGAGAGAGAGATTGAGATCGTGCTCGCTAGTATTTTAACAACCAAATTGGTTCTTTAGTGACTTGTTTTTCAGGTGCACTCCTGCCTTTAAATTTAAATGATTGCCTCTGCTTGTATTAGGGACTATAAATCCTCATTAGTATTTGAGCTCTTTTTTTTTCTTTTTTTTTTTTTAAAGCCATTTACTTTATTCATGCTTTTTTTTTACAGCAAACTGCCTGTTACTTCTTTAATTTTATTTGTTTTGGCATGTCTTCACTTTTTCCTGTCCCTTCCCAAATAAAATTATGGAGCATCTGTTATGTTCACAGTATTCACAATGGAATTTTGCATCCTCATGGTTTTTTGATATTAGATGCTAGACATTATAATACCCCAGAGGGGAAAGTAAATGTCAGAATTATTTGTTCCATGAACCACTGGATTGCATGCAGATTCATTTGCAAAGGTCACCTTACAAAGCCCCTAAACATTTTCTCTTGACTACTTAATTTATATTGCTTTCCTTATGTGACAGGTACTGCTTTAGTGCTTTACAAATATTACCTCATTTAACTCTTATAAAGATAAAGGGAAGAATATAAAACTTTTGAATGTAAGGCTGTATTTGTGATGGTACCTAAAGCTTATCTGTCTGGTTTTGGTTTGGTGGAAGGCCCCATCACAATCTGCCCTCGCTGTCTGTCACTTAATCCTGCCTTGGGAGTGACAGTGGCTGACCGTTATCTGTATCCCAGAGGATGATTTTCCTCGCTGCTGCTATGAGAGCTCCTTATTTATCTTAAGTAGTCTTGTAGATAAAGAGCAATTGAGAAGTGATTAAGGGAGATTAACCAGAGGACAAAGAACCTTTGACTATTATAAAAAAGAAATATACTTTCCAATATTTTATTTATCTCAGAACTTTCTCTTGAGCACTGTAAATTTTCCAAAGTGAAAAAAACCCCTCTTAATTTTGGATAGCTCCATTAAAAAACCAGAAAGAAAGAAAAGTTGTGATTATTGCTGAAAATAATGATCCTTGTCAAAGAAAAGAAGATTTTCTGAAGATATGCAGAAATACACAGATTCAGGGACCTCTCATATTATTCCAGCTACCAAAAGGATAATTTCTTCTTGGCCTACTCATGCTCTCCACTTCCTTTCTTCTGAATTGTTCTTGCAGGACCAGCATGTCACTCAAGAGACCAGCTAGTAAACTAACATGAAATGGTTTCTGCTCTAGGGTTGAGGGCTCAGGTTTGTTATTATTAGGTCTAACTCTCCAAGAGTAGGTTACTGAGGGCGAACTCAGAACTGCTATTTAGAAAGGGATCTAATTTCTTATGAAATTCTTACAAATCCTTAAAGATAATTTTTCTCTGAATGTGGCAGTCCTGTATTAGGGAGGCATTTTACTAACAGAAGCATTATGTATTGTCTGTGTGTATATATTAGAAGAGTTTTTGGGGAGGAAATAATAGTTTGAGATGCCTCTGAGACATGCAAATATAGATGCCCAGTAGGCAGGTGCATGTATGACTATATGGAGGGACGACATATAGGTTGGGTAGATAGGATGTGTAGCCATGTGGTAGAGCTCTTAGAAGTTTGGGAAGGAAAGAGAAGGAGATACTTCTCTTTGAGGCCAGCGAAGAGCCAGCAGTTTGCCAGTATTGCCTTCTGGTCCTAGAATATGTCAAAGGTGAGAACAATCTTCATTTGAGAGTGCTGCAAGGAAGCCAGTGCCTTTGGGTGGGATCCAGGTTTTGTCAATGGCAAGGCAGTAAAAAGAACCCTCTATGAAGAGACTGGGGTTTGAAACTCCATGAAGAGTTTCTTTTGGGGGTTTCAGAAAGCTCAGGGGAATCTCTGGGCAGGAGATTAATGGTAAGAACATGAGCCTAAAGGGGGCTTGAGAATGCGATTAGGGGATTGAGCTGAGGGCATTGTGAGGACGAGAAAGAAAAGAAGGATTTCAGTATTTCAGGCTTATAGGGATGATAGACTTGTTTAGGTTCCATGGATGAGTTCAAATGTATATGGGTATATTTTTTAATCCTGTTGTCGTCGTCGTCGTCGTCGTCGTCGTCACCACCACCACCACCACCACCACTCTTTCTTTCTGTCATTTTCTACCTCTTTTTCTAAGCCTTGTCTCTCCTTTCTCTTCTGTCTCTGTGTACTTTCTGGTTTTCTGCCTCTTTCACTTTTGGCTCTGGATCTCTATCTTTCTGTCTCTGGGTGCCTGTCACTCTCTCTTCATCTATGTCACCCCTCAGATTTTTCCCCTCCCTGTTAACTCTGGTGTATGGCTGCCTGGCTGTGTATCTGTCTCTCTCACTCTCTCCCCTACTCCATCCCCCTCTCTGTTGGCTATTTCTTGTATGGATCTTTCAACCTTTTTCTCTGGGTTTCTATACCCCTCTTTTGTTGGGATTCTACCCATTTCACTTTCTTTGAATATCTAATCCTTTCTAAATCTTTGTGTGGGTTCTCATCTGTCCTGAGCCTTCCTCATTCTCTTCCTTGGTATCTCTTCTCTCTGAGCCTCTACTACTACCTTTTTAAAAAAAAAATTTAAGGAAGAAAAATTTGCACTCACTATCCTGACTTTTCACTTCAGTTCTACGCATTTCGTATGTACATGTTTTACATAGTTCTAGGAATAATTATTTATAAACTTATTAAAGACCCATGATCTCAAAATCTTTCCCTTGTTGCCTCATAGTATTTGTAGTTATTGGTTATCTTATATTACATTGAGTAGTTGTACTACATAATACTCTTAACTGTTCTCCCATTGCTATTTTTAATTTTAGAATTGTAGCTAAACTATCCCAGGGCCTCATCATAATTTTTGTCCATAAGTACATTGTAGCCTTGGATGAAATTAAAGTAGGATTGCTCTAATATTTAGAAAATATTTCCACTGACCATAATTTGAATGGTTATATCTATTTCGGCTACCTTCCACCCTGCCATTTTAAAGACTTTTTCTTTAGGGATTATAAATAATCAGCTTTTAGCCTATACTTGGGGGAAGGGGAGTAGACAGTAAAACTAGAAGGAGGAGGAATTAAGTCAGGACAGAGACTAGAAGTGTGACCTAATTAGCCTTAGTCTGCTGGTTGGAATCATTTCTGTTTGCTATAGTAACTAAGGCACCATGTAGTCGATTAGTATACTCTAGGTTACCCAATAGATTTTACTAACTGATTAGTACATACAGAGTAGTAACATTCTTTCTCCTTAATCAGAGAAAAATTGGATTTTTCAATGTTTTGAAAGACTGGGCTTATAATACTTTTATGAATTCTAAGTATCGTATAGAATAGTTTCCCCCCCACTATTGATATTTGGCAGTAGAAGCCCCATTCCCCTTAATGAAATTTTATAAAGAACCCCCTGTTCTATAGATAGAAAAGATAAAAAGCAAAGTTGCTTAAGTTGAAACTGGGGCGCGGCACCAGCTGACTTTGCCTTTCTTGAGTTGCTCACCTCTGTAGAACCCCAGGCCTCTGAAGGATGTACGTAGTATCTAAACCACATTGTGCCTTTACAGGATTCTTAAATTTTATGTAAACCAATTAATAGTCTTCTTTAAGAAAATTTTCTTTAGGTCACCTTATGTAGTAATATTTTTCCTATGGTTCATCATAGGTTGATTACTTGAATAATAAAGAGGTAGCCTTCCTTAAATAAAGCTCTCCCTGTACCTATATTAGACAGTTTAAATAGCAAGGATGGCAAATTGATTTGATTCCTCCTATCAGCTTTATTTTATTGGTGGTAATTGTGTGGAGGGCTGTGTGCAAAGGGGAAGATTATACCACTGCTCTGGGATCAGGGATAAGAATGCAGTATTTATGCCTGTTTGCCAGCTAGTCCTGGAAAGGAAAGGGTAGGAGTGAATCTATTCTGGAAAGTAAAGAGCA